ATTTAGCAATAATCCATACGAAGAGAATGTATGTCAAAATTAGTTTGTAATGTGAGCGGTTGCCGAGAAATAGGCAATTTTTGCATGTGTCATGTTTTAAATTATTTTGCCTGTAAAAGAGTCAAGTATCATTCGATTTTCAATTTGTTTTTACCATTTGATGCCTTATGCCAATTTAGACTAGGTCAAGCCAATACAACATCTTTCTATCACCGGAAATGACGTCATTTGGTCAATATTTTATTCGAATGAGTCTGATCTGTAATGTTTTTAAAATTGTGATATTTGATTCCAAAAAAACAAATAGAATGAACCCATACGATCATACAGATACCATATAAACGTTTCTAACTTGTACGGTTGCAGAGAAATAGACGATTTTCTTCAAGTTACTTTTCAAGGTTTTTGGTCTATAAAAGTGTAAATTATTATTCGATTTTCATACAATTTTCACCATGTGACGCCTTATGCCATGATTTCATAGAACTAATTTAACATTTTCATTATCACCGGAAGTAATGTCATTTGGACAAAAACTGTATTTTTAGCTTTCAAATTTTGAAGTGAGTTATATTTATTATTGGTTTAGCATTATGATATTTGATTCCAATGGACATATAAATTGGATCAATATGATCATATAGATGTCCAAAAATGGCTTCTAGCATCTTCCCTTGTTCAGAAATAACCAATTTTGTCAGGATGACTTTTACAGATTTTTTTCCCATTTTAATTTCCTATTATAAAGTTAGCTAACTTATCGGTAATTAGTAACAAATTTTGTCAGGATCACTTTTTTGACATATGTAACACATCGTAACATATGTATAGATGCAATTGATATTGCTAGATTTGCTTGATTCTGCATCTATTTGTGCAATGCTTATGTGGAAATCTGTTTAACGGTTTCATTGATACGGGAAGTGACATAAGTTCAAGGATAACGTGGCACCGGGAGTGACATAAGTTCAAGGGTAACGTGGCACCGGTGAAACCCGTCATTACTGCTTCGCAGTTCTAGTTCTTATTAGGGTTTCACACTGCGTAGCCAGTGTGAAACACTATTGTTTTCGTTCGGATTATTATTAGGGTTTCACACTGCGTAGCTTGTGTGAAACACTATTGTTTTTGTTAAGATTATTAGGGTTTCACACTGCGTCAGTGTGAAACACTATTGTTTTTGTTAAGATTATTATTATTCTTATTATTATTTTTTTTTTTTCCACTTGAGTATATCTCAGAAACTATTTGTCGGATCAACGCGAAGTCTTCGGTTTGACTGGGAAAGTGGGTGTGACTTAGACATTAAAGCTATTTCGAACTTTCTGTGACAATGCGAAATGTCCGAAATCACCGAAGTTTTCGTTTTTTGAAATATTGCCGTAATATCAACAATAATTGTCGGATTTTAACATTTGATACATTTTGACATAGCCTGACTCACGGCAAATAGCTACGATTGTTTAGATTTTTGGTTTTCGATTAATCTTCGAAGATATTAGGCGCCAAATTTTGAAAATTTTAATTTTGACAAAAGACTTGTTTATTTATTAATATTTTTTATAGCGCTTTACCTATAATTAAAGGGTCATGTAATTTGAGCATGTAATTCACCTTGGCCGCTATTGGCTAATTCAGTTTATGGGTTCTAGGTTAATTATTTATTGCTCGATTTGTATAAAACAAAGTTCATATGCTCAATGGTGCAAAGTCTCAACTTTTTGTATTACCGATAAAGTTTTCTGTCAGCAGCGGAAATGACGTAATTTTGACCAAAACTACAATTTTGGCGGTTAGGAACGTCTTTTCGAAAGTAAATATTATTTTTTTAAAAATAAGTAAAAAGTAAGAAGTTGCGCCATGTAAAGGCGTAAAAAATGTCGGAAGCCGTTTTTTTAATTTCGATTTCATTTTTGCGCCATTTCGATTTAAATGTGAAAAACGGTGTAAAATTGAGCTATTTACAACCCATTCAGGCCTTTCATATTTTAAAATATTTCTTTGTGACTTTCATAAACTTGTAGCATTAAGAACCCTTGACAGTTGGAATTTGAAATAAGTGTAGCGAGTAGTGCCACAGTCCGTCCAAACTTTCTCGATTTCATATAATTTCGTATGGTTTGCAATTGTTGTTCCCTGACTTATGTTGACAAGAAACATCTGATGTAACCCTTATAGAAATAAATTTATAATTTTCCAGTAAATCTAGAAGCTGTGAAATGCAAGGGGGTGGGGGAAGGATATTGTTCAATGCATAAAAGAACACTGAGCGCCCCAGTAGAACACAGCTCGTATTGCCTATATACTTGTTCGCGCCGATCGTTATCTCGACGCAAAGCAGTTGTATGCAAGTTGACATAAAGGTCATGACATACTTGTTAATGATTGTGTGAACCGTAGGGGCCCTTACTTGGCGCCCCCTTGATTCCGCGCCTGATGTCTACATACAAGTTGGTATTCTACAACATCGTGTATATTTACATCCCACGAAGTCAAAGATGTACAAATAAAATGAATCTACTGGTAAATAGCGCTGCTAAAGAAATAGGCACGCAGCCAGAATTTCTAGCGTAAATATTTTGCTACATGTTCCACCTAACTACAATTTCGGATCAGTATAGAATAGATGAGAAAATTTTAAACTATTTCCGATTAATTTCAATCATAAACGGGACACAAACGGGTGCAATTAATTTATTATTTCGCAGTGTTATGAGGGGTGCGTTCGATTAATAGCGCCGCACTACTGAGCCTTCACGGGTGTATTCTGGTTACCGATGACGTCATTTAAACGGCTTACTCGGGCGAGGCCGAAATAACCGCGATGTTATGCGGCCTAGTGAATTGGCGGGTGATTTGAACCTCAAAGATGAATCGCGCCGGAATATTCCCACGGAATTGTTTCGGCCAACACCAGAAGCGAACCGAGATATCATGGTTAGTGAGCCAGAATGTTATTCACTTAGGCGCTGCAGCTCCCTTAAATAATTATACATGTACAACTTATATTCCTGTTTCCATGCAAGTGCAAAGGAGCCGCGGTGACCCAGTGAGTAAGGCACTGACTATATGACCGTGTCAGTGGTGCAAGACGGGGGGCTTTGCAAGGGTAGCGACCGAATGGGGCGTAAAACCAAGGTACCGTCCACACGTTAGAGTGCACTTAACAGAAATCTTGACGGTTAGAATTCGAAATATGTCCAAATTTCTCCCATTAGCATAATGCATGCCGTATGCTTGCCTTCATTACCCGGTTTGTGCGTAACAATACGACATTACACTCCAATTGATATCTGTTGTATTCAATACAATTGACACTTCCTTTCAGTATTATTCAATTTTTGTTATGAGAACTTTAGCCCCAAATCCTATCTGAAAAAAGGAGACTATTGTTCTAGGCCCTTGTGCGCTGTTCAATCTTATTCATTTTATTGATTGACATATTGTTTAAAGTAGATTCTGTTATCAATAATTGCTGAGATAAAGGAGAAACTCCTTGTACTGTTAATGGATTTCCAAAATTCATTGCCTTCCCATGTTGTGGGTATTGTTGTTTAAATCCAAATGTAACCAATACACTTTTTTTGTCAAGAAATGAAGGCATTTTCTCTAATATGTAATTATATGTGAAGTTCGGAATTTGGGCTATAACCATAGCATTTACTTGACATTTATGACGATTTCCATCTGGCCTTAAAAACAGTTGTGCGAAATTGGGTTTCTAATCTGTAGGCTTAAAAAAGACTTTGTTAAAGCAACACAGCTTCATAAGTGTTTTATTAATATAAACAATATTATTTTAAAATATTATTCCGTAATTTAAAGGCCTGATAAACCACTGCTTATTTTCATTTGTCTCTATGTGAATAAAGAAAAATTAGAATTCTAATGTTTCAAGATCGCTGGCTTGCATTACGTTAACAGACGACTGACATAGCTGACCACAATATAATTCCCTATGTGTCCTTTAATGTGACTGTACACATGAGATACCACTATTAAGTAAAGAAACAAGGTGCACGTCCAAGGTTTGCAGCCCGCAGTGGGGCAGAGGGAGCGACACCCCCGGGCATCCATTATGGGGTTGAATCCAAACAAAGGGTGAAATTAAAACATAGTTTATTTTTTAGTTTGAAATGCTCGATTTTATCTCTGGTGTACGTACTGACCTACTTGATTTAAATGAAATGAAATGGGGTTTAACGTCCTACTGTTTTGCTCCGGACTGGGCTAATGAAGACGGGCATACGCCACACAATGTGCTATGAGGGTAATTTTGCCCGGACAGCGGCACTACGGCCTACTCTTATATCGAATTCCAACTGTCAAGGGATCTTTTACGTGCACGCCAATGTGTACACGGGACCTCGGTTTTTCGTCTCATCCGAATGACTAGACAGCTATCCTTGTCAGGCCCTCCGTCCTGCATCACTGACAAGGGGGAACCACGCCGGAAAATCTGTACTTTATTTAAAGTACTTTGTCGTTTTCTATAGTCTTAGTTGAAAACGACCAAGGGGATGGCCCCGGGCAACACCAAACCTCTATATGTCATTGACAGCTCATAATTGACAGAAGCTAGGGTTAGGGTTTGCATTTTAATTTATCTACATGCTATCCGTACAAAATACGTCTACAATTTCTTGTTTCTAGCAAAAATATATTCTCGTTAATTTAGAAATAATCTCTTATAAATGTTTACATCTATGTAAATAGAACGTCGAAAAACAATATATTGAAGGCTAGTGATTATCCAAGTTATTTTTACATTTCTGAAAAACTATTATGAGAGTTTAAATACACGAACAATATAAAATCTATATTTATTTTTACAGCTCCAGTTACGTAAGTTAAACCATGTAAATGAAAATCCTTGTAAATTAAAAATGTATATTATTTATATTGAATGATAGTAGTTAGCTCTTATCCAAGTTATTTTTACAACTATTATGACAGTTTATACACATGCATAATATTAAAAACTATATTTCTGTTTACAGCTCCTGTTAGTGTTAATCCATGTGACTCGGGTCCTTGTCGGAATTCGGGAACATGTAGGCAAACAGATAATGGGTTTACCTGCGACTGCTCAGAAGGGTTCACGGGGACAACATGTGAAAGTGAGTATGAATAAAATATTATTTAATGTTTTGAAACTGCCAAACGCATATTTGCAGTTATACTGCTAAACTGAATCGATCTCGTGTCTACACTCTCACAATATCATAGGGCAACGTCAACGTTAGAGTTAAAAAAAATAAATGGGCCCGAAACTGCTGTATCTGTTTTTGCATTTCGTAAAGGCCCAATATTTCATAATAACAGTTATAATAAAATATCAGACAATAGACATTCATAGTAGTATTATAGAAAAAGTATATTAGATCGACACTTATTAAGATCGATCAATCTAAAGTTTACATTACTTTCTTTTCATTTCATTCCGACATTATCCCTTTCTTGTAAATAGTCTGTCTTAAAGACAATTCATTTTTATTAACAGACATTCGGCGAGGCATCTAACGCTTTTTGTTTTGTTTAACCGTCTAAATGTCACTCAGGGATTGCAACGTACGTATTACCGTACCAATCCGTATTTGAAAATAATAATGTAAATCATGTAAATTTACCCAATAATAGTGTATAGATAAAATAGATAATAAAATAATAATAACGGATAACAGAAAATAAGTGTCAGTGGAATCTGATGAAGATTTCGTTAGAAATATTTTGGTTATTCGGGAAACTTTTTTTTTGTTATTTTGTAAACACACGTACAAAGACAACGTGTGGGTATGAATAGGCGAAGTCTGTGAGTTAAAATTGTAGTTAATTAATATTCTGGACATCATTGCTAAGCATTACGAAACAAGATCGCCAAATTCTGGTACATATTAATATTATTGTGGAAATTTTCTGCTCTCTGCTGTTGGTAAACGTATTTAAACGTGCACAATTAGGTCGTGTTGGACCGGTTCCTATCAAGTAAACAGCACGATTTATGAAAATCCAGAAAACAATAGAGCCGGGATTATTCAGTCAATAGAGACCTGAACTAATGAGCTAGCTCGGAGGTTGCCTCAAAGCGGTAAAATCTGGTAAATCAAAGATGGCTGACATTTGCCTAACTAATGTACAAGAAAAATCTAAACCTTTTATACCTTTTTATAGGAACCGTTTATACTTTTTGTAGAAACCTATTCCCCCTTAGATTGGTACTTCAAATCACCCGAAAAAAAGTATTTGTAAATTTAAGATTCATAATTGCTCAAATTTAACTTGTTGTACAATATGATACATAAAAAAACCCATTAACATAAAAGAACAATACTATCTCATATTTAAAACTAAGCCATAAATGGAATGTCATTTGGCATGTAAACTTCCAAAACAAAAATTATTACACCGTGGGCTTCCCATACAGTTGAATAAAATGAAACTGCTACATCCATTATTTCCATGACATCAAGTAAGCATCCTCGAGAGACAAGTCACCCCAGGCCTGTCCCAAAAAATTAAAAGCTCAGTTATTATAAGTCGCTATCTAAACAGTTGTTGCATCTATGACGCTCGAGTCCATAATGTCTCCATTCTTATACTATCTTATAACTATTAGTCCGGTGGCTGAAGGAGGGGAATCGCCACCTGAGCTGTGAATTTATGAGACGAAGTTGTACTTAGATTCCAAATCTGCTTGGTGATCAAGCGTTTGAGGGGGGGGGGGGGGCGTTTTCGAGATATGTGGGTCCAATGTCTACAATTGGGGGAAAATGTGATCATGTTGACACAAATGATCATGTTAAATATTAATAAAACATATATTACTAGGACTGTCCATCTCTAAGTGTTTATGATGCCCCTGTTCAACTGTTTTCATTTGTGGCGAGGTGGGGTAGGTGGTTGCAGGTGTGCGTGTGTGTAAGGGGGAGGGCGGGAAATGTGTTCACGTTGATTTAAATGATGATTTTCTTAGAGCTTGATAAAAACATTACTTTTTAATTTCGCTGCACATCTCTAAATATGTGTATCAGATTCCCATTGTATTGGGGGTAAAATGTATTTTTGGGGACAGAAACCACTTAATTCAAAATTGACCTGAAAAGTGGCTTTTCGTTAGCTTTTTTTCGTTAAGTACCAGTTTCGTCATTCAAAATATTAAATTATAATGCAATCTGATTAAAACACAGATGTAGTTCAAAATTTCGTCTTCATAATACTAGGATCTGGAAGAGTTGTTATATAAGCCGCGTTCTGGTTAATGTGGAGGATTAGCCAATGAAACGGTCTGTTACGGCTAATTCTTGCCAACGCTGGTTGATTAATCAATGTCTGACGTCATAGGGTAAAAAACCGATTGTATGACCTCTGACGCCACCCCCACTACAACCGGTCAGATATTCATGTAATGTATTCCATCGAAAGTATAAAAAACGAAACGAAATATAGATCTGTATTTTAATCAGATTGATTATAACAGTACTTTTCAAAAGATCTGGAAAAAACAGTAAACAAGAGACATGTTTAGATGTTAGTTTATTCTTATATTCTTCATCAGAAGATTCAAAATCAAAAGTCATATTATAAGGGGGATAAATATCTTCTTTATGGGTGATCAATAGCTCGCATATATCCTTTGAATATGCTTCAGATACCCATTCGCATAGTAAATCTTCATTCCAGCCTTGTATTGTATCTCAAGGTGATCTTGTTCGATCATTTAATGTGCAGCAAAAGACTACCCAGGCAAGATGGTAATAAAGAAAGAAACAATTAAAATTCCTCCAGTTTTAGAAAATATATTTTTATAGGTCTGTTTTTTTACTTTTTATCTGTCAACACTCTACCTACAGGCCGCAAATCTAGATGGACTTTGTTCAAATTTGGCCCAATCATTACTTTCAAAGAACGGATGACACCCTCTGACGTAAATGCATGACCGAACCACTACTGTCATATTGAAAAGTGTTGGGTTTTTTTAAAAAAAAAGTCTTTTTTCTTCGATCGACTGACTGCTTCCCTTGTTTTCAAGTTAAATGATGATCCATTGGAAGAAACATTTTGAGTAAATGTACGTTATCATTGACACGGATTCAAAATGTAATATTTCTCATTACTACCCTATGTGGTTTAATCAATTTTAGATGTATTATTTTTCAGTGGTATCAAACATCATTGATACCATTTTATTGATTCTGAAATTATTTGTAAAACAAAAAAGAGACGTGGGTGAGGGGAACGTATAGGACTTTTAGAGTGTGTTCATAGTTGAAGGCAATACTGGACCTATTTTTAATTGGTGATGTTAAACGGATGAATATGAGATAAGGTCAATAACAGCTGCAAATCGTTTTCTGCACCTCATAAAAAACCTCTCCTGCAACTATTGGGGTGGCATGCTACATCAATGCGGTGATTTTAAAGAATGTGGCCCCATTTGAGGCTTTCAACAATCCGCTTCCCGCCATGTAATAAAACAAATGTGATATCTTCTGAAATCCCTATCACTATCGCTCTAGTCATCTATAAGTCGTGGGCTGAGGATTAACTGGTTCTATGTCCACGTTTCACTAAAAATGAGATATTTCATAAAAACTATCTTTGAATCAACAGGTGCTATGTACTTTGAGCAAGATTTAATTTAGAGGCGCCCTCTAGGTTAAATTGCCAAAAAAAAACACATAGGCTTTTGTTTAAATTTCAACCCATTCCCCCTCACAAAGTTCTATGTCCACTTTCACCAATATAATTCCTGGGTCTGGTGTCATGTGGTCTTTTAACAAAAAAGAGACACCAGCATGGCTGTATTTCTAGAGCAGAAAACTCGCCGTACGGCCCTCAGAATATTGTCCCAGAATGAAATTCTTAATCTGTTAAAAATGTATTGATTGTTAGGCAATTTAAGACAGCTTAGGCCTAATGTTTTGTTGAAACCCTATTTTTATTTTGAATGATCGTACACAGTAGTTCCGTACATAATGATGGAGATGGAACTAGTTGACATCAAGGCCCAAGGGATCTTTTACGTACATGCCAGACACGGGACCTCGGGTTTTCGTACCATCCGAACGACTAGAGAGCCGCTTCCTCCAGGCTAGCGAGCCAGCGCTTTACCCACTTGGCAACCGTGGCTCCCTACCATCATAGGCTTACAGTGTCAGTGTAATATATTTATGATCTTTATCAAATGTAGGGGAGAGCGGGGCACATTGAACCATTTTTTTCCACATACATGGTTGTCCTCCTTAGATATCAAATGTTTTTATTAGAAGATCTCTTTACTTTATTGTATTGTTTGAAGACATATCATAGTTGCTATTGTATATCACATTTTAATCCACTTGACTGTAATTGTTCAATGTACCCCGCTGTACAAAATAGTCGGGGCAGGTTCAACCACATAATGGGGCACGTTGAACAGTGGTAAAAATTCCATGTTAAACATAGATGTGAATTTGGATCACAAACCTAGTCACTTGTTTCGTAGTGATCTAATGAATCTGCAAACAATCAGTGTTTAGTTAAGAACAAATCTCCACAGGAGTCCGGATTCCCTAGGCGCCTACAAATCGCCATAAATTGCACTTAAGTTGGCAGTTTGGGGTGATAATGGGATCCCAGTCAACTTTTGCAGTGAAACAAACCAAAATTTGTCCAATATTCTGTCTAAATTTGGACAGCCTGATTTGCTAACAAGCGACTCTTAGTCAGGGAGGCCCATTGCGCCCCTGTATGTCACAGCCATGTTTCGAACACTGCTCCCATGAAGTTTTAATTCCGTTTATATGACAGGCCTACAGAGTTGGGTCAATTGATCTTCTAATATTGTTTTTATTTTCAAAGTTTATATATAAACTATAATGCAATGGGGTACATTGAACCAGTGGTTTAACGTACCTCATTGACAGTGGTTCAATTCAATCTGTCACATCACAGTTTTATGATCAAATTTTGAAAAAATCCAAAATGGATCAAGCCCTTGTTTATCTGGATTGCAAATATGAACTGATTGTAAGTACAATAATTTCCTAGGCTGAGCAAATTATCAAATGATATATAGTCTATAATACACTGGGCTACATTGAACCATGGTTCAAAGTACCCCATTGACAGTGGTTCAATC